GACTCCTCCTGCCTCTTCGACGGCTCTTCCATCCTATCCTCGCCCCCCTTTGGCGACGGAACCACATCAAGCGGAACCTCCCGAGACTGACCGGTCGATTCGTTCCCAGGAGCTTCGGAAGATGTCCGAAGTTGTGATGCCGTCTCTGAGCTAACTAAGTCGTCGTTCGACCCATACGGATCAAGTGCAGCCGCGAATTCTTCGTTCACGAACCTAGAAGGTAGAATCAGCGGCGAGAGGACTAGATCATCATCTGATAAAGGCGCCACCTTCAGCTTAGCAACATTGGCTTCGTGCTCCAACTCCTGAGCACTGAAGATGTCGATCAGCTCCTGCGTGATACCGACCTTCTCTTCTAGGATCATCCCAAGACATTTCTTTGTCCCAGAAGCTTGATCCAACAAACTCTGCTCCTCATCGCAAAGTCTGCGACGCTCAAGGTAGGCCTTAACGCGATCAATACAGCGGTTGGCTTTGTCAGTCATAGCTGCCTCAACGCGCACCCTCTCGCGTGTAACCTCCTGACTTCGAGACTCCCGCAGGCGTTTCCTTTCTTCAACCAGCTTCCGCGTCACGGCGTCCCTTTCAGCTTGAAGTTCGGCTTTCTCCTGCTCCAGAGCAGCGTTGGCTTTCTCGAGACTCGCCTTCTCCCGCGTGAGTAACTTCTTAGCCGCACGATCAGTCTTCAGTATCTTCTCAAATCCCTCAAACTTCTCGCGAAGGATCTCTTTATCCTTCTTGTTCTCAGCCTTGATCCGCTCGATGATGCCGAGCCTGACCTTGGAAAGCTTCTCCGCGTTACCAAGCTGAACCATCGTCTGTCTTAAGGTCCTATCGTACTTTTCGACAAGTACGTTCATACTCGCATCAGCCTGAAAATGAACGCAAAAATATCAGTCTTAAGTAGGGTAGGGACGCGACTGAGATCGCCAAAGCATCAATCAGAATACATACCCGTCTGTGTTGAAGTGCGGCCTCCGTGTAATCTTCCTTGAAGAACAGATCTCTAACTGGAGGCATCTCAACCGGACCGCCTCTGATCTGTCGGGTAAGCTCCGCGCACGGGTCTGGGTTGAGTATCAAGGGGGTCCTTCCATCATACGAAAAGTTCACGCGATCTGCGAACTCAACCTGGGGCCTCTTGCCAAGCGAACCTTCCGATAGGCTCGCTCCAATCGGGGATTTCTTCTTCTCAAGAATAGCAGCTGAAGAAGGATCTACCGGTTGGTTACGTGCTTCAGTCTCATTACCGGCGCTCACCGCCATCTTAGCACTTTCGGGACAAGGTCTGAGGCTCTCGGGTCGCGAAATCTCCTTAACAACCTTCTTCTTTTTCTTCTTCTTCGAACCCTCCCCCGAACCTTTTCCTTCAGGATCATTCCCGGCGAGGTCATCATCGACAGAACTCTCGCGCGATCTCTTCCTTTTCTCCTTATCACCAACCTCCAAACCATCCGAACGCCCTTCGAGAGGAGTAGTCTCGGACGACGACCGCGCTCCCTTAGCCGTAGAGTCCTTCTTCTTCTTCTTTTTTCTCGCCTCAGGAGCCGGCGGATCAACGTCAGCGGACTGCTCGGTCGGGTTGAGATCAGCCTGCTCGGTCGGGTTGGGATCAACCTGCTCAGTCCGGATAGGATCAACATGCTGGGAAGCTTCAGCGCCAACCTCTCCAGTCGGAGTAACCCTAGAGACCATCTTCCTCAGCAGTTGGAGTTTCCCTTTTAGCAAAGAGCTCAAGTCTGGTCTTCCTGACATCTCTCTCGCTTGTCGGAGGAGCTTTTGTTGTTTCCTGGTAAATAGAGACAAGCGGGACTTGCGTGCCGAGACTATCAGCGGCTGCCTTGATTCCCAATCAACTGCAAAGTAAAAAAAAAAAGATAAGGGAAAACGATAATCTACCAGAGTTTGACAGTTAAAGAAAAAGGACTACCTCTTGCTATACGAGCCTGTTGTCGACGAATCCACTCACGACTCAGATCCGGCCAATTCAGGTGACTTTGGGTGGCGATAGCTTGTGCAATTTCGAAGAACTTTTCTGGATACGCAATCGTATTCGGATGACGAGCTGCAAAGACAAAAAGACAAGGTTAGATGACCTATGGACATAGTAAGCAACACAATGCTCGTTCTCTACCAATCTCTTTGTCCCACAACACCGGAAAGTCATCTTCGATAGCCTCTGCAAATGCGTATTTGTCCGCTTTGACGTAGAAATAGGAACGTTGCCAGTTAGTCGTTTTGGTAGGTTGACCGGTCAAGACATTGTAACTCGGACGCATCTTCACCGAGAACAAGCCCCCCCTTTCCGCCTTCGTCGACGTCAACTCTTCAAATACCCTTACACTCATGGGAACATCGATCTCCGAAGCCATCACCATCAGCATGACAGCGTTCCGAATCGATCCTATCTTCAACTGACTGATCGCTACTCCCCTCCTCCTCGCGTATGCCGAGATCAAACGCGGAATCGGAAACCAGAGCTTCGCGTCATCCTCAAAGTAAGACTCGTAGAGACATTGGAAACCAGCCGGAGGAGACCAAGGCCTCTGTTCCTGAGAAGGAATTACATAAGTCACGCCTACTCCTCCGGCATGTCTCAGAATGCTTCTCACGGATCCGTGACTAGACCGGGTCCCGAAGACATTCGTCCAAAGTTGTTGACTTTCAGCCCAAGGATCTCGTGACGACTCCGGAGGAAGGACTGCTAACTCCTCGAACGTGCCATCGGGGCGATAAATAGTTGGCCTGCATTCGATCAGATCGAACCTAACTAGCCGATGTCTTAGCCATAAAGATCGAGGACTCTGATCTGGAGAAGCCGAGTCTTCATCATCTTCGTCGGAGCCAGAACCATCAGTATCCTCCCGACCAGACCCGCTGCACGCACGACTCGAATCACTATCCTCACTCCCCGATTCCGCGACCGATTCTCCATGCGGCTCAAGCCTTTCCCTTCGCAAGGCGTCACGATGAATCAGGTTAAAATCCTCTAACGGACTTCCATTCTCAGTAACGTCATCAGCCTGATCAGTCGCAATGGCAATCCCTTTGCCTTTTTCCTCACGCGACAACCGCCCCGAAGAAGCCATCTCCCGAAACAGAAATTACGAGACGAGGGACGAAGAACACTTAGAGAGAGAAAGTGAAAGGTAGAGAGAAGGGAGAGAAGAATACCTGGATTTGCAAAGAAGAATAATGAAAGAAGGGGAGAAACTACCTATTTATAGCAAAGTCCAAGGCACGATTCCCTAGGTGCAATTAATGCACCTAAACGGGCCTAAATAAGCCCATTAATTTTATAAATCCAGAAGATTATCCGAAACTTCTTAATCACACACCGGTTCGGTTTGATTAGCCCGCTGAAACCGGTCTACTTGACCGAGATTAAACCGGGGCATTAACCAAGAAGTATTCGAGATTAAACCGAATGCGACCAGATTAGACGATTTACTCGCTCGAACAGCAAGCCATGACACTGAACAAGCATCAGGAGGCACTGTACGCGCTGAAGAATGACTTCCGGATCGAGAGATAAATCGCGCCTGATGAAATCCTCTAAACGCGCCAACCAGAAGCTTTCCAGCCGCGCGACTAGATCCACTCAAGGTGATCGCATAAACACGTTCATTCCTGCACGCCCTAGCCGAGACGACGGCTGAACGCGTCAAGAGATAGTCCAGCCGTACAACTGGACATGACGAGTCGACGGATAAACGCGTCAAGGGGTGGTCCAGCCGCGCGACTAGATATGCCCCATTCGACGCCTAAACGCGTCGAGAGGACATCCCAGCCGCGCGACTAAGCACGCTTCAAGTGACCGCCTAAGCAAGTCTCGCCTAACGACACAGCCGCGCGACTAGGTATACTGAGTCGACGGCTAAACGCGTCAAGTAGCCGCCTACCCGCGCGACTAAGCAAGCTTCTGGTGACCGCCTAAGTAAGTCTTGGCCAACGACACAGCCGCGCGACTAGGTATACTGAGTCGACGGCTAAACGCGTCATGTAGCCGCCTACCCGCGCGACTAAACAAGCTTCTGGTGACCGCCTAAGTGAGTCTTTGCCAACGACACAGCCGCGCGACTAGGTATGCTGAGTCGACGGCTAAACGCGTCAAGTGGTCGCCTACCCGCGCGACAAAGCAAGCTTCTGATGACCGCCTAATCGAGTCTCGGCTAAACAGCCGCGCGACTAGATACGTCGAGTCGACGGCTAAACGCGTCAAGCAACAGCTTACCCGCGCGACTAGACGCGTCATGCCGACGCCTAAACGCGTCAAGAGACGTCCTACTAAACGCGCGTTCGTGCTAGGATTCACCATTCGATCAAACCAGTCTACAAATTCACTCAGAGTCTTTCGAACTCATAAGTGAACTGGGGGGACTTATTGTGGGAGATGGATTATACTCCTCCGCAAGGCCCATCGAATGGGAAAATTTAGCCCAACGCGATAACGTATTCGGCCCATTAACCTTACTGGAAGCGACTTGGCATGACGACGCGTTTAGAAGCGAAACGAAGGCGTCTCAAAAGGTTAAGCAAAAGACGGTTTACCCGGATACGCTAAACAGGCCCAACAGGAATAGAGTCCAGTAAGGCCCGGGCGAATTAGGGCGAACACACAGACGTGGTCTATATAAGCAAGGAGGCAGCAAAGAGAAAGGGGATCCGGAATTGGACATACTCACTTGGCGGCTAGATCTAGGGTTTTCTAGTGATTAAGTGGTTAGATCTAGGGTTTACTCACCCTCTCGTTTAGTCACCTCCCTGTTTAGTCACCTTCCCGTTTACTCACCATCTTGTACTTCCGGCTAGTCCGTCGATTTACTCTCTTCTTTGTAACTCCTTGTTCAGATCTAATAAAACGTCTTTGTTCGCCCTCATCTCTCTCTTTATATTGTTCAAACCACTTTCACCTCAAACAAGGGTTTCCACCGTGTGTAATGCATTTAAAGCTTTAAGCTTTCTTACAATTGCTAGAGTCTTTCTTGTTGAACGCAGCAATGTCTAACTCCAACGCCGTCAATCCTCCTCCGCCGCCGTCGCCGTCACTTTCTTCATTACCTGACGAAATCGTTCTGAGATGCTTAGCATTGGTCCCAAGAAGCTATTACCTAAACATCTCATGGGTCTCAAAACACCTAAGAGCCCTTGTCCGCTCGCCTGAGCTCAACGTCATGCGATCCACCTTCAACAAGAAGAAGTCCCTCTATGTATGTTTCCAAGAAGAAGAAGACGACGAAGACACCTTCCACTGGTTCACTCTCTGTCCGACAGAGTGTCAGTTAGTTCCGAACCCAACTCCCTTCCCTTGTCATCCTTGTTTAACCGTCGAAGTGGGGTCAAAGATATTCTTCATTGGCGGATATAGCAAACCTACCACGGATCTATGGATCCTTGATACACGATCTGGAACCATGACTCAGGGAACAAGCATGAGCGAGCCTCGAGTAGTTCGCAGAGCAGCTGCTGGAGTAATCGACGGGAAGATATACGTTATCGGAGGCGGAGAGTTTTATGAAGAGGTCCACGTTGAAGTTTTTGATCCGAAGTCGGAGACTTGGGAGGTTCCGGGGGTGGAGAACGTGCCTGACATTCCACGGTATGGCGCCTCAGTGGAGGGGAAAGTGTACATGGTGGACTACGAGAAGACACATGTGTACAACCCTAGGGAAAATGAAGGGAGACGGTTGATTCAGATGGTAAGTAAGAGACTCAAGGAAGGTGGGAGAGAGGAGATGCTAAGGGAAAGAGTGGCTGGCGTGTGTGCGGTGGAGGATGTTCTCTTTGCTTTGTTTGATAAGAGTGGGCTGATGTGGTTTGATACAAAGCGTAACGTGTGGAGGAGATTGGTGGGTCGTGAAGGGAAGGAGATGTTTATCTTCCATGCGGATGTGATGGCGGAATACGATGGGAAGCTTGTGGTTTTGTATATGTGGGGTGAGAGTAGAGATACTTTTACCAAGAGTGTTCGGTGTAAGTTGGTCTCACTGCATAAAGCTGGAGATAGGATTTGTGGCACGATTGATTGGTCTGGTGTTGTGGCTTCAGTCCCAGATTGGTTTGATTTTCTGCATTGTTTAGCTGTTTCCGAGTGAGTGATCATAGTATGTGTTTTTGAGAGCCAGTTGTTTGGTAACTTAAAAGGATTTATCAGTAAGAAATTGACATGTTTTACGAAAATGAAAGGTGATCTCTTGTTTGTTCATGGGCTTGTTATATCGTCTTCCATTAGTGAAGTTCTTTGAATTGGACAAAAAAAAAGATAGTGAAGTAGTGTAATGAGCTTTAGCGTCTCTTCTTCTTTGGTTCTGTAGTTATATGGATTTAGCATTCGGCCAAAAGAGTTTAGACTTCGCACTAAGGAACAAGAAGTGGATCCTACTTGCACTGAGTAGCTATGGTGCTTTTAGGGTTTATCATTCTCCTTCGATTTCTCAGAAAAGAAACCGTATCTCCAAGCTCTTTGCTCTTCTTCTCAAAAGATCTGACCGAGTTTCTCGGATCAGATTCCGATCAAGTCCGAAACAGCTTGAAACAGATTTACAAAATCGTAAAATCAGATGTGCTCAATCCTTCATTGACAAGATTCATACAAGCCATAACCGTTGGTTTACTCAGAGGATACCGGTTAGATTCCGGTAACGACCGTTCCGAGTCGGGTTTCACTGATCCGGTTATGGATAAGCTGTTCACGAAATCCGGGTCCGGTTTTGCTTCAGCTATCGTTGGTAGTTTCGCTAGAAACTTAGTCCTCGTGCCCTATTCCTCCAGAGAATTCTCCGATTCAAAGTTGCTCGACGAGGTTTGCTCCGATGACGGGAGAAAGCTAATCGGCGATTGCGTTCAGCGTTTCGTGAGCACAGCGTTTTGGTTTATCTCGACAAGACGACAGAAGTCGATGTATTTAACGATCTCCTTGCCGGTTTAACCAAGCCTGGTTCTTAACTATGGCTAAAAAGATATATATTATGGACCCAAATTTTTTTTGCATAAATAATAAAGAAAAATAACCTAATTTCAAAGGGAAAAAAACCTAATTTTAGAGGAAAAAAACTCAATTTTCATAGAAAAATATAAATAGTAAAATAAAAAGTCCAATTTTTATTTAAAAAAATCTATGAAAAAATTCTAGATCTTTTTAATACTATAAATATATGTAAAAAGAAAAAATTGCCATGGATCCACAATATTTTTGAGCCGGGCCTGGGTTTAACCAATCCGAAACACGAGCATAAGGTTAAGCAAACGCTCGTAGTGGTCTGTAACGGTGCGGTTGAAACGTTTGTAAGAGCGTCAACAAGACAAATCACATCACCGGAACCAGACCGATCGAAACCGACATGAATCGGTGGGGTGGGGTAACGTCATCGCTGTCTGTACCAAGTAACCGGAAATACGCGGTGGATTTAACCGGGTGGGTGACGTTTGAGACGGTTGGATCGTTGTTAGAAGTTTTGGTCGAGAGAGCAAATGGTAAAATAGAGAGTTACGTGGCGAAAGTAAGAGAGAGAGGAAACGAAACGAGGAGATTGACGACAGTTAAGTCGTCTCTACTTTATAGTTTGTGTCTACAGATTGTTGATGCTCCGTGGATACTGACTCCAAGAAACTGATCATGCTAGCCTATAAGACAAGAAACATTTTTTTTGTGTTTTGTTTGAGTGATTCTTGGATTCAACCAAAATCTTGTTTTTTTTTTCTTTAATTGGAGAAGAAAGTGATTGTGTTTGTCTTTTTGGGTGTGGGGTTTGTTGAATGTATTGAATTTGGATGTTTGGATACTGATCCATTATTTGTTAGAGCAACATCAATTGAAGGATTCAAATTGTGTCCTTTAACATATCGCATAATTACTTTTATGTTTAGAGACAAAGCTAAGGGCTTTTCAAAATTTGTAAATTATTGGTAAGAATTTTTGAGTCCTTAGTATTTTTAATTGTTTATTTTAATAACTAATGACTTATAAAAGATAAGTTTTAAATAAAACATATAACATTAAAATTGAAAACATAAGAAAATTACAAAGTTACAAAAAAAAACAAAAAAAATTACAAACATCATAAACATTTTATTAAATTCATAGAAACTTAAAAATTAAATATTATTTTGAAGATGTCCAAATTTAGTCCATATATTTTCAATCAAATCATCTTTTAATTGTTGATGGACTTGTCTATCCTGAACTCTTGTTCGTCGTTGAAGCGTATTGCCGAGATTTGTAGCCATTTCGACAGAATATGTAACATCCTCATCTTCTCCCTGTTGAAATTCTAAAAATTCATACTGAATGTATGAATCTCTTTCATCTTCGACAATCATATTATGAAGTATGATATGTGCTCTCATAATATTTGATGTTCTGCTTTTATCCTATAAACTAGATGGATTTTTAACCACGGCGAATCTAACTTGCAGGAATCCAAAGGCACACTCGACATCTTTTCGGACTTATTCTTGGGTTTTAGCAAATAAAAATTTTGGTCCTTGTGGTAGTCGGATAGATTGAATAAAAGTCGCCCATTTCGGATAAAAACCATCTGTGAGATAGTAACCGAAATCGTACTCTGTTCCATTGACAGAGAAGTTGACTTCTGGAGCAACACCGTTAATAATGTCATCAAAAACATGTGGTCGATGAAGAATATTTAGATCGTTCATAGTACCTAGATCTCTAAAAAACGCGTGACATATTCAGAAGTCATATGAAGCTACCGACTCCAAGACAATTGTTGGTTTTTTGGTTCCTCGTGAATACATTCATTTCCAAGAGGTGGGACAATTCTTCCACTCCCAGTGCATGCAATCGATGCTTCCAACCATTCCAAGAAATCCACGTTGCTCTCTAATATTGAGTAGTCTTTCAAGATCAGCTGTTGTGGGACGTCTAAGGTATTCATCGCCAAACAAGTTGATTATTGCAGCAATAAACTGATGCAAACATTCTCGAGCTGTTTTTTTCACCAAGTCGTACATATTCGTCAACTGTATCAGCCCCACCACCATATGCCAATTGACGAATTGATGCAGTGCATTTTTGGAGCGGTGAAAGACCGAACCGTCCGGTTGCGTCTTGTGTTGGTTGAAAATACACAATTTCTGTAGAGAGACGATGCACAATACGCATAAAAAATGCCTTGTTCATTCGAAACCGGCGGCGGAATTAATTGTGAGGGTATGTTGGAGTATCACTAAAATAATCATTCAAGAGTTGATTGTGACCTTCTTCCCGGTTTCGATCGATAAAAAATACGTTGTTTTCGCTATAGTGGTTGTGGAATAAAATTTTCGAATAAATCATCAAATATGTCATCATCATCATCATCATCATCATCATCATCATCATCATCATCATCATCATCATCTTTGTGGTAATGATAATGGGAAGATGATGCCATTGAAAATTTTAAAAAGAGAGAAAAGATTTTGACAAAGAAGAGAAGAGAGATGATTTGCATATTTTTAATGGAAGACCATGTCATATTTATACAAAAGGAGTGCATCTTGTTGTTCTTGTGAATGAAACAACAACACCATCCCGTGATATTATAGTTGTTCTTGTGAATGAAACAAACAAATAATGTTCAAGTTAGAACATCTCGTGAATCAATATAGTGACCTTTGAGTACATCTTGTGAAAGAAACAAACAAATAATGTGACTTCACGAGCACAATAGCATGTTGATAATGTGACTTATGTGGTTGGTTCACGAGCACAACATCAGTAATAATCAAGTCAAACCTGACTTAACAAGCTTTAACGTTTACATTAGTAATAATCAATTCCGAGACATTACTCCTATTAAAACTATAAAAAGAACCATTACACCTACGAAGTACTCAAACCCATGGCTAGAGTTTGATTTCTCCTTAGATATATCACACACAATTTTCTCTAGCCTAAACAGCTTCTGCTCAGTCTCATAGTCACTCAAAGGGGAAAGATTTTCAACCTTTTCAGCCAGCAGAAAAACGTGTCTTTCTCTGGCTCTCCTCTCCTCCATCACCGCCACATCCCACCATTTCCAAACATGGCAATCTCCATCATCTACATTCTCACAGGTGTAGTATCTTCTACCTGTGGTGATCATACGCAAGACTATCAATAGAGATCATACGCAAGACTATCAATAGAGATCATACGCAAGACTATATGAGCAGCCACAGTAGCATGTTATTTTACCTGGATCATTCCTACTGTTAGATGTTTCAAGCAGAGGCTGAGCACCACAGTAGCAAGTCTGCAGGAAGCCAAACTCAACCTCGGGTTGCGGAGGGTATTGAACCGGTTCACGAGCATGTAAACTTATCTCAGCTTGTTCACGTCGAATTAGATCATCCGTCTCGCTGTAGCCACTGTGGACAGAGTTTCCAAATAAATCCTCTGACTCCGAAGGTTGGCTATAGCTGTAGTCAAGTCCCATGTTTTACTTAACATGCAAAACATTAAGAATTAATTTTTAGATAGACATTTAAGCTTGTAGATTGATAGACATTAAAGCAGCATTAACATAAAGTAACGATTAGATAAACATTTAAGCAGCAATAACATAAACTTGAATTTTTATACAGATAGCCATTTAAGCAAACATAGACTACATTCATCATAAAGAAGATAAGCAAGCAGGAACTAAAAATAAAAATTTAAAATAGAAATTTAAAACAAATACTTAATTTTTTAGTTTCTAATTCTCAGAAATATTAAGCTAGGATCTTATTCTTGACAACTTCTTCTGTCTCATTTAGTGGTTCTTTCTTGGCAAGGAGAGTGTCTAGTATGGCCAGATTTTAAATTTTCTCCTCCATCGCCAAATCCTCCTTCTTCAAATGGTCGTATACTCGCAACAGACTTCCCTTGAGCATTATTCCTTTTAGATTTAGCAGACTTGACACCTTCAGGCCTAATCTCATGATCCTCAATAGTGGCGCTTGAAGTTTGGGAACATGTCTCACCATTTTTCCTCTTTGAACTGTCACTGCCACTAGTTTTAGGAGTGTTAAGGTTGAGCCATTTCTGTTCATACCTTAGCACACACCAAGCATGCTCAAGGTTAAACTTGACACCGTGATCAGCGTAGAAGATTGCATGGGCCTTCTTGAGACATCAGTGTCACTCTGACCACTACTAATTTGTCTCTCTGCTGCCGCAAATGCGGCATAGAACTTGTTAGTGAAGTCATTGATTCTATGCCACATCTGCTTACAATGAAGATGCTCTCTCTTTTCAACATCCTGTCTACCATGAGGACTTGCCGCATAATAAGCTCCTACTCATTTCTAGAAGTGCATCCCTTTCTGTTCATTACCAACAGCAGCATCTTTAGAAGTGTTAAGCCACACACTGATTAGAACCTCGTCATCAGCTGGGATCCACTTCTTACTCTCCTTTCCGGCCACTGGTGGAGGTGGAGGTGGAACGTCACTCTGTTGTGAATTGAAAGGAGGGAATTCGGATGCTCTAAAGTTAACACTGGAATGAAAACTTTCATAAGGGAAGTTTTCATGGTGAACACTTTCTTGTTGACTGTTAAGCAGTCCTACATAACTAGAGGACTGAGTAGGAAGATTCCTTGAATCCATACCAAGAAGGGATTTAAAAGGAGAAAGCGGAATGATTATATAAGCGAGAAGTTTAGAAGTTATATAATAGAATGATGGAAGGATGGGGTTTAATAGGAGCAAACGTACTGTAATAAGTATTAACCCACATAATGACTAACCATAAACTAGAAAAGTCTTATCAGAAGTTATTAACTATAAAGCTAACAATTTCATAAAATTAAAAGGAGGTTTGGTTTCTAACAAACTACACTTCCATAAAACATATGGAAGTGTCCTGTAACCACGTCAGTGAAATAGTTGTTCTAGTTCATTAAAGAGTTCAAGAGTTAACTCTAACTTTAAAGGAAATGATTGTTACATAATTAATGCATTCATTTTCCTATTTCCATGTAACCAATGTCATTTTAGCGAGAATACATCAAATAAATCATGCTATGAGTTTAAAATCAAATCGAATTAGTGAAAGATCGGATACGCATCAATGTCTTTGTAAAATGAGTGAATGTTTAGAGTTTCAAATCCATGAGTTTCAAATCTAATGAGTTTCATATCGAATGAGTGAAAGAGTGAATGAGTTTCATATCGAATGAGTGAAATAGTGAATGATCATATACTCATCAGGTTAAAGCTATAAGAACACACGTCAGGCTAAAATTAACATCGAGTCCGACTTAAAATGACCAAGTTACAAAAAGAAAACCAGAGTTCAATCAGAAACATACAATCAAATCATCACAATCCTAATTGTCAATCAGAAACACCAAAAATTCAGAAACACTAAGCGTTCAGAAACACCAAGCATTCAATCCTCACAAACCATAATTTTCAATTTTATTTATTAAAACACCAACCATTCAACCACAAACACCAACCATTCAATCAGAAACATACAATCAAATCTCAAAACGGAAGACAGAGGAGTGAGCAATACCTTGTTTAGAATCGATTCAATTGAGAAATTGGTGGACTGAGCGGTCGGTTGAAATTGGCGGAGAGATCGGTCTAGACTGAGCAAGACATATCGGTGTGGTCTGGAGATATCGCCGTCGACTGA